TGGCCCCTGGGTGGGGCCCCCCAGGCCCTCCAACATCCCTGCCAGCCCTGCCCCCATGGTTTATTTATGCCCAGGTTTTTTTTGTTTGGTTTTTGCACACTAACTGAGCATTGGTTTCTACTTCCCTGGCCTGGGCCAGTCCCTCAGGGCAGCGGGTAGAGCTTTCTAAATGGAGTTTAGCTCCAGACCTGGAATTAGGCCCCACCCACCTTTGGCAAGGCCACCGCCAGCAGAGGGGAGGGTCAGAAGGGGCAGGTGGGAGCCTGGCTGAGCTGGGGAGGTTCTCCCCGCAGCCTGAGCCCCAGGGCCTGACCAGGAGCCCCAGAACCTGACCGGGAGCTCCCCTGGCCTCCGCCCACCTACGTCTTTCTCTGCCTTAGGAACAGCTAAGTGGGTGTAGGCTGCCAGGGCCGCCCCAAGTCAGGGGGACAGCAGGGGGAGGTGACCCTGGCTGTGAGTCCATGTTGAGTTTGGTTCCTTCCCAACCAACCTCTAACAACCCCAGCAGCCCGAGCTCCTTGTGCCTAAGAGCCCTACCCGCCCCTGGCCAGGGAGGGGCCGGCAGCCCCAGCTCCCACGAACCCCTTGAGCCCACACCTCCTTATCTGTCTAGAGACGGGGTTCCGGGCCCGCCTTACCAAGGACCAAAGGGCGTCTGCCAAGGCCCCTCCAGCCAGGAGCCCCGCCTCCCTGGCTGGGCCTCCGCCCCCAGTCTACCTTCTCTTCTCTGAGCTATAGGACCCACCTGGGCCCCTTCCCTGGGCCTAAGCCCATCCTCTCCCCGGTGGGACTCCATCCTCAGGGGTCTCGGAACCCCACCAGCCTCAGGCTCCAGCTGCCAGTTGGCCACTTCCCCGTGGAAGAGAGGGGGCCGATGGGTGCCCAGGCTGCGGCGCTGGAGTCGCAGAGCATGCCCACCTGTGTGGGTGCCCACAGGCCAGCATGCACCAGGCTTGGAGGGGGTTGCTCCCCTGCCGCTCCCTGTCACCCCAGGCCCTGGTGGGAGAGGCCAGTGGGAGCCACTGGGGCCTGGAGGCTGCCGGGCTCAGCCCTGAGGGCGAGCTGCCCCCTTCTTTTCCCTCCCAAACCGAGCAGAGGCGAGGCTGCTGTGGGAAATGGTACTGTATAGCCGGCTCTGCCCCCCAGAACCCCGAGGCCCCGAGGGAGGGACTTCTCATGGGCTGGCCCCCAGATGCGGGTCCAGCAGCTTCCGCCCCCTCCATCCTGAGAACGGAGAGCCAGGCAAGCGGGGACGGGGGTCTGTGTCCACCCCCATATGTGTCTTTCTGTAAATAACCTGCACTGATTAAACCGTATGGCCGGCGAGCGTGGCCTCCTTTGTAAGAGGCCTTGGGCCGGAGCTGACAGCTGGAGGGGCTGCAGGTCCCCGGTGGGAGGGGGTGGGGTGGGGACTTGTTCCCACATCTAACAGGCCTTGCTCCCAGCTCTGCGGGTCTCCTTCCCAGGCGCCCTGGGAGGGAGGAGCTGGGGTAAGAGGGAGAGGCAGCTGCCCTCCGTAGCTGGGAGGAGGTTGGGGCAGGGGGCTGGGGTGGGACAGGAAGGGGTGGGGAAGATGTGTCATTCATTCCTGGCGAGAAAGGGCAGCCCAGCATCCCACGCCCTGCACACCCAGGAGGAGTGGGAGGCCCGGGCCACCCACCCAGGCTGGGCTCTGAGCAGCCTGGTCCAGAAGGACTGGGAAACGATGCCACTGCGGACTCCCCTCACCTCGTGCTCTGTCGGAGGGTGAGGGGCACCCCAGATCTGCCCTCGCATCTTTGAAGCAGCAAGAAGGCTCGCCCAGGAGGGCAGGGGACAAGCAGTGCCGCCCTCAGGTCTGGGTCAGCCTTGGACACACACACCCCCCCCCATAACCAGCCCCATCTGTCTTCTGGGCCGTCCTATTGGGCACCAGCCTGCACCCCAGGAATGCAGTGATCAGCTGCAGTGGGTCCCACAACTCCTCCGACAGGGTCCTTCAACCTGTTCCAGGCTCCACCCTCCCCCACAGCTGCACACCCCTCCCCAGCCGCCCTGACCCCTCCCTTTCCTCTCTTTGTATTGAAAACTGGCTGAAGAGAGTCGGAAATGCTGGCCCTAGGAAGCCCCAAGGCCCGTCAGGCTAAGTTTGGAAACCCTGTGGCCCCCACACAGGGACCTTGGGGAGGGGTTATGGGAAAGGGAGGGCCTGGGGGTCCAGGGCGGACTCCATCTTCTAAGCTTTTCTGTGGCAGAAGCCACAGGACCCCACCCAGGTCTGCCTTCTGCTGAAACCTCAGGGTCACCCAGAAGCCCGAGGTCACGGGCAGGTGGGAGGCAGTGTGGGGCGCAGGGAGGAGGGGGAAGGGCCTCTCACTGGGACTTGGCGGAGGGATCAGCCCGGGAGGAAACTCCCACCCACAAGCCCTTCGGTAAAATCTTAAGAAACCCAGTGGCCGGAGGGACAGACAGCTCATCTCTGGAGCCCCTTCCTCATCCCTCGGGGGCCCGGCTGTGTGAAGGAGGTCTCTGGGGAGGGACGGGTGGAGCACCCCAGCCAGTCCTCCCACCCCACCCCACCCCCAGACACTGGCAGCCCCAGCCTGATGCCCCGCTGCCCCAGCATTAAACAGGAGCCTGCATCTTTAAACTGGTTTTTTGATGAACACGGCTGTAACCTAAACTCACCTTGGGCCCCTCACAGCCCCCATCCCTTCCTTTAGGTCTTTTGTTCCTTTAGATCAGTGGTTCTCAACCTTCTGGCCCTTGAAATGCAGTTCCTCATGTTGTGACCCAACCATAACATTATTTTCGTGGCTACTTCACCACTGTCATGTTGCTACTGTGATGAATCGTCATGTAAAATACCTGATATGCAGGATGGTCTTAGGCGACCCCTGTGAAAGGGTCGTTGGAACGCCAAAGGGGTCGCGACCCACAGGTTGAGAACCGCTGCTTTAGATTTTGCTAATTCCAAAGTAAAACGATTAAAACACTACAGATAAGAGAAAGGGGAAGAAGATGAGTCCCATAAACTCCCCCAGCCAGTACGGACAGCCCTGCCCGGGCGGGTTTTCTTCCAGCCCATTTCCCTCTGCTTTCGCACAGCGTGGAGTTGTGGCTTCAGCCGGGATACTGCAAACTTAAACCTCAGTGGGAGGGATAAATCGACCTGCCTCGGCCGCTGCTGGGAAGATGGACAGAGGATGGTGGCTGCAGTGCTGGTGACAGTGCCCGGCATTTGGCGGCCTCAGGCGATGCGCATGCTCCCCCACTTACATTTTACCCCTGAGAACAATGGGGCTCAGAGAGGTGAAGTGACTTGCCCAAGGTCACACAGCGAGGAAGTGACTGTGCTGGGATTAGAACCTACAGGGACCGACCTCGCAGCAGCCCAGTGCCTCCCCACCCTGGGACAGAGATGCTCAACCGCTGAGCCACCCTGGCCTTCCCGCCCCACACATTCTAGGCCGGGAAGACCCCAGGGCCACCAACAGAGCCTCCTTTCAGGCTGGGGCAGGGGCCAAGCCGGCCGCTTCCTCCCCCTCCGACTTGGCAGAAAGGCCTTTTTGTTGTGGCTCACACAGAAGCCATTCTCCTCTGGCTCTCGAGAAGGAATGGCCGGCTTCCTGCCCATCCGCAGCCGCCCGGGCTGGGTGGACGCCTCCATGTAGGTCCGAGAGAAGCAGGGCTCCTGCCCCCTCCGCGCCCTCCAGTCCCGCCTCTGAGACCCCAGGTTGCCAGGCTGTGCTTCCCAACCCATGAGATCACCCACAGGGTAGAGGTCAGCCACTCCTCGGCGATTCCAGCAAATGCTGGGGATTCCAGGCCTCAAGATACTTTTAGGGCAAAGCAGTACCCGCCTCAGCCCACTGTTCCAGCGACCTCGGGACCCACAGAGCCCTGGCAGAGGCCCCTGCAGGGCGGCTTGCCTGTCCCACATGCCCCCTGAACTTGCTTGCCTCTGTGACTTGGCGTATGCTGTTCCCGCCTGCTTGAAAACCCTTCCCTGCACATTTCATCCTGTCCAGGGTGCGCAGATCCTTCGAAGGCCCGGGTTAAGGCTTGCCTTTCCACGTTCCCTCCCTCCCTCCTCCAGGTGATTGCGCTTCTTCCCACCTCTGGCTCACCCAGCCCTTGCGTCCAGGCCATTCCTTGCCTTGGAGCCCAGCCTGGCCGGCCTTCCAGGTGCCCAGATGCCAACTGTGGCCCCCTTGCTCACCAGCTGTGTGTCCTTGGGCAAGTCGCTTCACCTGTCTGAGGTTCTCCTTCCCTAGGAGACTAGTGGCCACACCTGATCTCACACAGTGGTAAGGCTGGATCGAGCGGATCCTTGTAAACACTGAGTTCGGCACCTCGCCCAGGGAATCGTGGTTTGTTACTGTGTCTGTTTTAGACGCAGGGACCTGGTGGGCACTGAGGAGGAGGCATCCCTCCTCGCCTTTCTCCCCAGGACTGTGTGCGGTGTGGGGTCAAAGGTCACCAGTCGGGGGACAGGTGCCGGGAGGAGGGACATTCAAGTCCCACCAGCTCCTCTCCCAGCTGCCTAGGCCTCTTCCTGTGACCCTGGCCCGGCCCCGCCCCACCCACAGCACCAGCCCTCCTTCCTGGGCCCTGGGCAGGAGGCCGGCTCAGGTTTCCCCCCAAGTGTGCCTGACACCCTCACCCCCACATGTTCACCCACCTCGGTCTTGGCCAGAAATAGCCTCCAACCTCCACTGACAGCCAAGCGAACAGGC